ATATATATATATATATATATATATATATTAAGTTTTTTTATATAGATGTTTATGTATTTTAAATGTTTAACCGTATTATTTTTACGTATTTATGTATTTTCTTACTTCAAGTCGTCTTCACCATTTATCCAATTCTCACACATTCTGCGAGTATGTGTAGATGGTTTTCCTACATATCCACATATTTTAAACTTTCCCCATTCACTTATCTTGAAATTAAATATCGAATTAAAAAACAAAATAATAATTTATGCACATACGACAACTTCACCAGTCTCATGTGGCCTCAAGGGAACCCCAAGTTTTCATATGTGCATAAATTATTATTTTGTTTTTTAATTCGATGTTTAATTTCAAGATAAACGAATAAGAAAAGCTTAAAATATTTGGGTATGTAGGAAAACTATCTAGACATACTCGAAAAAGTATGAGAATTGGATGAAATGGTAAAGACGGCTTGAAGTAAAAAAAAAAAATACATAAATACGTAAAAATAATATAGTTATACATTTAAAATACATAAACATACATAAACATTTATATAAAAAACTTTTAAAAAAATACATTAATATGTAAAAATACATATAAATATGCAATTCATAAAAAAACACATAAAAATACATAAATAATATGTAAAATACTTAAACATACATATAAATACGTAAAAAAATACGTTTATACATTTAAAATAATAAAAATACGTAAACATCTATATAAAAAAATAAAAATATATATAACTACGTAAAAATACATATAAATACGTAATACATAAAAAATAACACAAAATACATAACAAAATATATAAAATACAGAAAAAAATACGTTTATACATTTAAAATAAATAAAAGTACGTAAACATATACATATAAACACTTAAAAAAATACATAAATACATAAAAATAGATATAAATATATAAAAAATACGTTTATATATTATATAAAATTTTTGACGAAATCTACATAAAAGTCTCATTATTTTGAAAAAGTTAACGATTTGGTCCAATAACCTGCTCAACAGGTCAAAAAGGGCTAAAGTGGATAAATTAACCTGTTTCTTAGACTTTTTTATTCAAAAAATTAAATAGTCGGGACTTTTCTGTTAAAAAAATAAATTTAAAATTTTATTAAATTTTTTTTTATTTTTCTGAAGATTTCCATCTAATTTTTGTAATCCAAAATGTTAGGTGTTGATTATGAATGTGATATGTCATAAACTCCAAAATGACTTTTACTAATCCAAAATGTATTCCGAATATGCTGGTTATTAACAAATTCTTAAAAAGTTAGTTATTTTTATTATAGGTTAGTTTAGCTCATTTTCTAAATATAAAAATCAAATATTTTTTAAATAAATGAAAAAAACGTAGGTGAAATATCACATCCATAATGTTTTTAACATAAAAGTTAAAATATGGGCATCCATTCATCATCATAAATTGAGCACAACAGCACATGTGATGTCTGATCGATGCGATTCATAGGACATGCAAATGGAAGAGCGTGTCCAACTACGAATCGTGCGTGTTAGGCATGCGTGTGAGCAAGTTTCGTGGTAGGTAGCAACAATTTGTGGATGCCAAAACTATGAAAGTCACGTGTCAAAATCGATGTGGCCCCTAAACCTTCTGACTGGACCCAATTAAATATTTAAATAGTTACACTTTTAAGAAAAGGTTTTTACCTAACAACATAAACCAATTTATTAAAAAAAACATCTAACGATTGTCATATGGAGATATTTAGGTCAATACTTTATCATTGTTGTGAATCTTTTAGCTTTAAATAAGGAATAGTATAAAAAAGAGATTATATAATTTGAGATTTCATTTTGAACCATTTTATTATTTTTAAGTAAAATGAAAGACTTATTGGTTGGATTAACTTTAGTGTTAAGAAGAGTCCATAACTCAATAAGTTTTTTTTTATTTTATTATTATTATTTTTTTAAATATATGTTTTAAGGGGTATTTGTCTTTTATAACCCAAAAAGTTATAAAAATTTTGAAAAGTTAAAATCTTAACTTATTGAAATCTCACTTTTTTAAAAGGTTGATGAGAAGTTATTTTAAAAGTCATCTACATGTTGCCAAATATTTTTTTGCCTTGTTAATTTCTCAAAAAACCAATAAGCTAATCCGATTAAAAAATATACATTATTGTGAACATTATATATGAGGGTCACATAGATTAAAATACAAAATATGTTTTAGCTTCATCCAACTATTTGTTAGGCTTTAATTACAATACAAAATTATTTATAGAAGTTAATATAGTTATGAAAATAGGATTTTTTTGAACAACAAATACAAATTAATCTTAATAATTCAGACAAAACCTAAACCATCAATCTTAAAAAAGAATAACAACATATGATATCGTTAGACTAAAACTCATTCGACATGAAAATAAAATAATTTTACATTCATAAATAGTTATGCCAAACGTTCACATGCATATAAAACTAGACATTTACAATGAAAAAAATTACCATTTAAAAAATTATGTGATTTGAGCAATATGGTGATAAAAAATAACTAATACTTTTCTATATTCTTAAAAAATGTTCAACTTATTACATTATTACATGTTTATCTATTAAATCGGACAAAGTGACATAGATAGATTTTTTTTTATAAATTAAAAAGGACATATAAAACTATTATAGAAGTAAGTCAAGTTATTAAATTAGTAAAATGGTTAAAATATTGTATTTTTTTAATAGTTTTATCCGTATATAAACTAATTTTAATAAAAAATAACACATCGCCTAGTCTAAGTCATGGTATGGGGAATGTTAGGCATTGCCTCCATGACTCCATCAACCATTGAAGGAAGAGATTAGAGAATAAATAAATAAGTGTCGAAATCTTGGTTCAAATTGGCCAATCTCTTTCTCCTCTTCAATTTTCTAATTGCCAACTACCCAAATTGTAATATATTAAGCTTCAGAATCACCGAGTTAGATGTAGATTGGTCTTGTTGTCTACAACCATACTCAAAGTGATAAGCAAACAGATAAAGAAAAAGTCATCAACTCTTCATCGATCATTGCAGATAACCTGTTTGCTTAATTGTCTCAAAGAAATGAGTACAGAATACGCCACCGATGAACCTCTTCTTTCTTCAAGCAAACAAGATAATGGCTTCAATTACGTCACCAAGACACGTTTTTTGGTCAAATTCACCAGATGGGTTCTCAAGTTTGCAATGTGTTCGATTTTTTTTGCTTGGATTACTTTCTTATTCTTACTTCCATCACAATCCGTGAGCGACTTCTCTGAGAAATTTGTCGACTCTACTTCCGGATCGGTTTTTTGGGTTTCAGGTTCGTAATCTTCTCAATTTTCACTTTAATGAAATTGATTCTATTTTTAGTAATTACAATAGCTGTTGTGTATATCTACAGGAAGTATATTTCTTTATGGAGGTCCACTATTCATCATTGCATTTCTTGCTATACTTTACCTTCGGATATCTGGTGAACAAGAGTTTGAAGAGTAAGTTACTCGTTCTAAGAGCCTGTTTCTGTATCTTTTCTAACTTAATAGGACATGACTAATGACTTAATTCATTCAGATATATAAGTTTTTAACTTAATAAGAACACTTCTGTGTAGGAAAAAGAAACCGAAACACGCAACTTTACGCTTGTGGACATTCCCAGTTATCGTAGATGGACCATTTGGAGTTGTTACAGCTGCAGAGTTGATTGTAATTCTATTAGTTGTTGTGTATATCATTTGTGCGCTTTCAGTTTATGCTATTCAAAACTACAACCTGATTCCCTACTATGAGAGTCAAGGAAAAAGGTAATTTCTTTATTTTCTTTCTTTATTAAGTCGTTCTTTATGTATGATGTATTTTAAAATTAAATTAAACATCGCAGCCATGTAATGCTGAAGCACACTGGATTAAGATTCGGGTCTATTGGATTGATTTGCTTAATGTTTATGTTTTTACCGGTTTCAAGAGGATCAATTCTTTTAAGGCTTACAAATATCCCTTTTGAGCATGCAACTCGATATCATGTATGGTTAGGACATCTTACAATGACACTCTTCACTCTTCATGGTTCTTGTTATTTCATCTCATGGATCTTGGAAAATCGTGTGCTACATCAAGTGAGTAGTTCTTCTTTCTACATTAAGTCAAAAAAAAAAAAAAACACCCATATGTAGTTTATCAGATGCTGAAATTGAAATTGTGTTTTCTACTTTGTTATGTAGGTAATTGATTGGAAGAATAACAAGATTGCAAATCTGCCAGGTGTCATCAGCCTATCGGCTGGTTTGTTGATGTGGGTGACGTCACTTCCTCAAGTGAGGAGGCTAAAATTTGAACTATTCTTCTACACTCATCAGCTATATGTTGTGTTTGTTGTCTTCATGGCTATGCATGTTGGTGATATCTTGTTTAGTATGATAGCTGGAGGTTTGTTCCTGTATATGCTTGACCGATTTCTTAGATTCTTTCAATCAAGAAAGAGTGTGGAAATACTCTCAGCCAAATGCCTTCCTTCTGGAACTGTGGAACTTGTTATATCAAAACCTCAAGGTATTAATACTTTTTCACTTTTTCTGATGATGTGTGATATAACAGGTTGTACTGTGTTTGGTGTATATTGGATTGGATTTATACTGATGTCAATGAGACAAAAATTGCAACTTTTTTGTTGACACCCAAAAAGGTGGAACAAGATGGGAAAGGGAGTCACTCTCGATCTCTTTGTCTGTGCAAAAGACGTAAATGCCCTTTTTCATCCTCATCATTAAAAATAGCCCTAGAAATCTTGTCCAGTCTTGTCCCATCCCGTCCCATGTAACAAACGCAGTGCGTTTGTTACACTGGATAGGACTAGATGGGATGGGACAGGACAAGACTGGACAAGTTTTCTAGGGCTATTTTTGATGATGAGGATGAGAAGGGCATTAACGTCTTTTGCACAGACAAGATATCTAGAGTGACTCCCTATCCCATCTTGTTCCACCTTTTTGGGTGCCAACAAAAAAGTTGCAATTTTTGTCCTATTGACATCTGTCCTAATCCCATATTACATAATAAATGTGTGGTTAATATTTACATAATACCTTTTTTTTTTTTTTTTTTTTTTTTTGAAAATGTAGATTTAAAGTACAATGCCCTGAGTTGGGTTTTCGTCCAAGTTCGGGAATTATCATGGCTACAATGGCACCCTTTCAGTGTCTCATCTAGTCCTCTAGATGGAAACAATCATCTTTCTATTCTCATAAAGGTCCTTGGAAATTGGACAAACAAACTAAAATCTCATATCTTGAGTCTTCCTGAAGATCAAACTGATCTACATGGACTCATTCAACCAAATTTGAAGCTTAAGGCATATGTAGAGGGGCCTTATGGACACGAGTCTCCATACCACTTGATGTACATACTCCACTCACTTTTGACTCATTTATTCCTATACCTTTTTACTTAATTTCTTGTTTACCATTTCTTTTTAGGTATGAAAACCTTATTTTAGTAGCGGGTGGCATTGGGATTTCACCATTTGTGGCTATCTTGAGTGATATTCTACACCGTATTAAAGAGTGTAAACCTTGTATGCCTAGAAATGTATTGATAATATGGGCTGTTAAAACATCAGAAGAACTTCCACTCCTTCACTCACTTGACTTGGAATCACTCTTTCCAAACTTCCACACGAAACTGAATTTGGAGATTCAAAGTTACATTACTCAGGAATCCGAACCCCCACTGGTACAAAAGTTTCCATTAATAGCAATGTACTTTCATTTATCAAAGAAAAAGGAAAAATTAAGTTTCAAGTTATATAAATTTATTGTCTACAGGAAGAGGGAAATGAAGAGAAGTATGCTATTGCTAATGCAACCCCTTTTGTCTATTCTACCCCTAGCCAATGTGGCATGTCTGGATTGGTTGGAACAGGAAACATCATATGGTCTGGAACTTATGTGGTGGTGTCCACAATTGGTTTGGTGGTTTCTTTGACTTTGTTAAATGTGTTTTACATCAACACTTATGATGTAACATATCGTTGGTATAAAGGGCTTCTAGTATTGATATGCATGATTATAAGTGTGATTGTATTTGGAGGCCTTGTGATTGGTCTATGGCATCTTTCGGATACAAAAACCTCAAAAAAAGAAAAATCTTGGGACAAAAATCAAACCGAAGAAATACAACACAACAAGTCTACTACTTCATGCAAGCATTCATCAGAAGAAAGTTTTGTCAAAACCACAAAATATGGTCAAAGACCTGATCTGAAAGGTTTGTCTTAAACCATTTAGGCCTCAATTGTTATACAAAACAATATATGACAGGACAGGACAGAACAGAACAGTACAGTAAAGTACTGAAAAAGGTGGGACAAGGACTTGTTCTTGATCTCTTGTCTGTGCAAAAAGACGTAAATGCCCTTGTAATCCTTATAATTGAAAAAAACACTAGAAAATTTGTCCAGTCTTGTCTTGTCCAGTGTAATAAACACAAACTAATTTATATCTACGTTTGTTGATTTTTTTTAATATCTTTCTTGAATTATACAGAAATTTTTGGGAGGATGTGTGAGCGATGGGGAAATGTAGATATTGGGGTGATTGTATGTGGGCCCACGTCTCTACGCTCAAATGTTGCTAAAGAGTGCAGGTGTAAGAATTTTGGAAGGAGGAGCAATAATCCAGTCTTCCATTTCAACAGCCACAGTTTTGATCTGTAGGTATCACCACCATATTTTGTTGGAAGTAAAATTTAGTCAAAATACATATATGAAAGCTTAGTTAGTTTGTATAGTATGGGGTAAAATAGTAAATTCCACCCACCAATGGGTCCCACCTAAATCACAATATCCCAGAGCAAGAAAAGGCGAAACCCATGTTTGAAACTGAGACCTTTATATGGATTCTCACCTCCTTTTACTGTTAGGGGATGCTTAGTTTGTATAAAATGATAGGTGGTTTGATAATTTGTTATATTTGCTTGAAATAAATTTGTGGCACCATGTACTTTTTCTTTTAAGCCAATTAAACTGGTTATTTTTGTAAATATGTAATAATGAATTTATGCAAATATTATGTATATATTATAGTAGATTGATTGAGCGCGTATAAGACTTGTTCTTGTGATATGATTGAATTTGTGATTGTGTATGAATTTTGTCTTGTTATGTGAACTCGTTTGTGATCAACATGGTTAACACTTAACAATGAAATTTACCAAATTGACCCCATCTATAATTCTGACACATAATGTGTATTGGCTTCTTTTTTGACATTAAAGATATGTTGGGGTCCACACATGATTGTTTGTGTCATTATCAGTAAGGAGATGAGAATCCATAAGTGATTTACCTCTATCATGTTATAATTTACCAGATAATAGCATTGTACTTTCAGTTTTAGTACTTTCAATCTGTAAAAAAGAGAAAAGAACAAATGTTAGAAATATCAAGAATCCAAATAATGAGTAAAATGAAGTCTTTACTTTTAACACAAAAGATTTTGTTTAATTTTTGTGTTTTTGATTATCTGCAGGGGTTTACCATTTATATCAGCAAAAGAAGAAACTGTCCCAAGTCAAGAGAAGACAAAATGGCATTAAAAGGTGGTATAATATGTATAAGGAAATCAACTTATTTGGAGAAGCCTTTTATATTTCATATTAAAAAAGTGGAAAAAAGAAAAGAAAAGAAGACATGAATCAACATACAAGAGGAGATACACATAGGCGAACATTTAGAAAGGAATTACTTTGATCAATATTTACAGAAACATACAGTTTAGATGCTTTGTTTTTCCTAAAAATATGATGTTTGTATAACTTCATAGGTACTAACATTAAAATGAAATATCCAAACACAAAATTTACAGGTTAATTCCATGAGTTTGACAAAGTCAATTTTGATTTTAAACTTTTTGATTATTATTATTATTTTTATTTTTTGTAAAAATAACAATATATATAAAATGTCATTTTTGACATAGAAGAATCATGGCGAGTTTTCTTCGAATTGGAATGTAAATGAACTAAAATTCATCAAAATTTTGGTCAACAGAAAATGAAATGATATATAATTTAATCTGCTGGTATAATTACAAATGAATTCTTGTTTGTATCGCAAATGCAGCTTAAAAAATAAATTATACATAGATAAAATTATTTAAATTACCCTCTAATTAAACTCTTATTCACAAAACATTTTAAAATCAATAAATTATACATATTTTGTAAACAGAAATATATCAACACAAAATACAAGTTACGGCACCTTCTTTTAAGCCACTATACAAAAAGTTTAATAATAAGAAACCAATAAATTTAACTAACTTTTAAAGGTTAGTAATATCATTCTTGAAAGGAAAATAAACGGAACTAAAAAACTTACAGAAGTAATGGGAAGTATAAAAAAACATTGACAGCAAATGGTTCAAACTATTTGTAGGATTAGTTTTACACAATAGATACAATTCTTAATTGTAAGAAATGGCAAAATTTTTTTATTAAAGGTCACCTTTTTTCTTTTCTTTTCTCTTATTTAACTTTTTTATCTTGTATCTTTTATACTTTTTGTATTGTTTATACACGTCTGTTGATTGGTAATTTCCCTGAGATCTAATAGCCTGTATTCTTTGATTTTCAGACAGCGGCTTCCTAACATCGAGAACTTCAAATCGTCCGGTTGGTTTTTTTAGATTTGTCTCTGAGCCTCGAGAATCGATGCTTCTGTTTGCTGCTGGAATGCAACCCATGTTTTTGTGATATTCCTCTTTGTCTTTGCTTATTTGATTCCAGACACTGGATGTCATTTGTTCCAAGTGTTTGATGTTTATTGCATGCTTCTAGTACATCTATAGAAGACTTTGTAATGCTTAGTTATTGGTAATAGTGGATTTGAAGCGGCTCTAGTAGTCCCGTGGTTTTTACTCTCTTTTTGAGAAGTTTTCTACGCTAAAATTTCATGTTAAAGTTACATTAAAGTCAACCCATTTGTTCATAAACCATAATTCAAAATCAGAGTTATAAGGAAAACAATGTGGAATCTCGAATCATAAAACCGTTGATGTGCGTGTGTACAGTGTTGGATTAGGTGTCTAGGCCAATAACTAAATTAGTATAATCTTGAATTATTAGCAAAGTCCTTTTGGATTGCCCTCAAATCTAGTAATGGACTGAAATGTTATTTAGAGAGAGAGACTGATTTATTAATTTATTATATAATTAATAATTTAATTAGAAATCAAAACAAATAATTTATTAATATATTATGAGAATAATATATTAATTAGAAATAATATTGTTTAATTAAAAATTAATCAGAAATTAATTAGAATTAACTTTGGGATTAATTGGATTAATTAAAAGTGGAAAGACTAAAGGTGACAATGTTCAAAAGTTGAGCATTGACCAATTCTAGAATCTCCCATAGGGGGATGGTTCTAGAGGGTTTTTAGAGAGTTTCTAGAGGTATTCTTGGGCTCTAAGGAAGCTTAGAATGCCTTAGGGAGGAAGTCATGGGAAATGGTTATCTAAAAGGAAATCTGCCTTATCCTTATCCTCCCTATCACCTATATAAACCCCCTTGGGTTATGAATTTCAAAATTCACCTCATTCCAAATAGAATTTCGAAAATTCCCTTCCTCCTCCTCCTCTCTCCTCTTTAGCCTCCAATTTGTTAGGGTTTGGGTGTGAGCCATTAGAGGCACGAGATTTCTGGTGCTTGCTTTCTGAAGACCAATAATGAAGGATTTCTAGTATATTTCAACTAAGATATCATTCTGATTGACGAGGTGTCCCAGAAACCGAACCTCGCACAACCAGAACTCACACTTGGAGAACTTGGCGTATAGCCTCTCCATCCTTAAAATCCCAAGAATCTTGCACAAATGCTCCTCGTGCTGCTCTCTAGTCTTTGAATAGACCAAGATGTCATCGATGAAGACAATCACTGACCGGTCCAACATGGGCCTACACACCCGGTTCATGAGATCCATGAACGTTGTCGGTGCATTGGTGAGCCCAAAATACATCACCACGAACTCGTAATGCTCATAACGAGTTTGGAAGACCGTCTACTGAATATCCTCCTCTCGTACCCCCAGCTTATGGTAACCAGACCTCAGATCAATCTTGGAAAACCAAGATGCCCCCTATAACTGGTCGAGAAGATCATCAATCCTTGGCAACGGATAACAGTTCTTCACCGTTAGCTTGTTCAATTCTCAATAGTCAATACACATCCGTTGTGAACCGTCCTTCTTCTTGGCAAACAAGATCGGTGCCCCCCACAGTGAACTACTCGGCTGAATAAACTCCATTCCTAACAGTTTCTGAAGCTAAGAGGATAACTCCTACATTTCGGGTGGCGCAAGGTAATACGGTTCCTTAGCACTCGATGTCACACCAGGGATCAGGTCGATCCGAAACTCCACCTGCTTCTTGGGAGGCACACCGGGCAACTCCTCCGGAAAAACACCGGGGAATTACACATAACAGGAACATCAGAGATGGAAATCGATCTCTTCTTGTCAATTCGGGTATCCACCACATATTCCAGATAACCCATACACCCATGCTGCTAACACTGCCTCGCCCTGGCGGCAGAGCAGAAAGTCGATCCTAATTTGGTACCCTCGCCGTAAATGGTAAGCACTCCCCCACTAGGATCTTGAATCGTCACCAATTGTCACTCACAGTCAATCAGAGCCCCAAACCGACTCAACCAATCCATACCCACGATAACACATACATCTCCCATCATAATAGGGATAAGGTTTATCATATAGCCAACACCAAAAATATCCAATACACAACCCTGATAAATGTCAGTAGCGGAGACCACATGCTCATCCGCTATAGAAATCCTCAATGGTCTAATCAAGGCCTCACATGCAATGCTAAAATCATGGCAAAATGATGATGATACAAAAGATCGACTCGCATCCGAGTCGAATAACACTAGAGCAAGTACAAAATTCACAAGGAAAGTACCTAACAGGAGCAATATCATAAGAAAACATAAAGCAAATCAACATAAATAATAATAAAGAAACACATACCAGCCACGACGTCCGGTGCTGAACGGGCCTCCTCTGCCGTCAGCTAAAATGCTCTCCCTCGAGCCTTGGGGCCTCGGCCTTCCCATGCCGGCTATTAGTAATACGCAAGGTAATAGGAGCAGGAGCCTGAACTGTCCTCGATGCAAGCTTACGACACTTGGACCTCAAATGACCCGTTTGGTTGCAATTGAAGCAAACCCGAAATCCCTTGGGGCAATCCTTTTCTATATGCCCCTACTTGCCACACATATAGCAGATAGTCCCTGATCGGCATGGTCACTCATTCCCTTGCCGCACTTGCTGCAAGTGTGTCCTTTCTGGCTTCCAGCTCTCAAGTCAGCGGGTTTGAACCACTTAGTCGCTGGCTGCGACTACACTAGCCTCATATCTCTCCCCTGAGTCTCCCTCTCGTCTCTTGCATGTGTCTCCAGCTCAATCTCCCGCCTCTTAGCATGGTCTGCAGCTCAGCCAATGTCTGATATGAAGTGTTTGCCATGAACTCATGGATATCTCTCCTTAGGATACTTAGATACCGACTCACACGTGCCTTCTCCAAAGACACGTGCTTGGGGGCAAAACAAGGCCCTCTCATGGAATATCTTGGTGATCCAAGTCACTATCTCTATCTTCTGCTTGAGAGGAAAGAACTCTTGGGCCAACCTCTCTCTCAACCACTAGCAAAAACTCATCTCTGAACATCTCAGTAAATCTCTCCCATGTTACCACAGAACACTCTGCAAGAGAATAGTCAGTTGTAAAAAATTTCTACCAATCCTTCGCTCCCAAGCGAAGTAGGTTCAGCGCAAAGCGAACCCTCAAATTATTCGGATAGGAGCAAGTGTAGAAACAACCCTCAATATCATAAATTCATCTCATTGAGGCAATCAGATCTTGGGTCCCATCAAACTCTGGTGGCTTCGTGTTGTTGAACTCCCAGTACTACAACAAATCACCCCTTGTGGTCTCGCAGCAATAACGGTTACGGTAGCTGCGATAGCATCAACCTCAGTGACGGAGGCATAGCGTGTTGGGTTCTGAGCATTCTAACACTCCTATGGTGTACATGCAACCCTAGAAACCTTGGATCTATGTTT